CAAAAAAAAAAAAAAAAAAAAGGGATGAAAAACATTTTTTTAAAAAAGGAGATGGCTGGTTGTGTATCTCGGTAACGGTGCTTGTCTAGCGTGTGTGAAGCCCTGGGTTCGAACCACAGCACCGCCAAAAAATTAAAACAAAAAAGATGAGGCTGCCCCTCACCATTGTTGTGGGAGTCATATAGCTTATGGGACAGTGGAGAATCTGGTACACACGGAAGGAATGAACATGTTAAATTAGCATCACCATTCTTTTCCCGTGCGTAGCATATAACAATTAACTTGAGGTAGGAAGGTAAGGGAGAAATCTTTGTCCCAAAGACACATGGCAAGCTTCTAAGGACACAGCAGAGAGAAGTTCACACAGATGTGACAAGTGAAGGTATAAAGCAGGTGGGTCATTAAGTCCCGTGGCACCAGCCCTTGTCCTGAAATACCATGACAGAGGTATATGGGTAAACTGTGAGCCAAAGTTTTAAAAGCCTATGATTGAATCAGTGAGTGTAGCCTTTTGGGGTCACTCTGGTATGGACAAGACTGGCCACACACCCCATCCCCTTACCAGGGGATGGAACTTAGGACCTTGCACTTAACAGACAGATGCAGCACCCCTGAGCTATATCCCAGGTCCTAGACTGTGGCCATGTTATACCTGCTTTTATCTACAGTGGAACTTAAAAAAAAAAAAAAATCAAAGGTGAAGAAAAAGAGGCAGTTCCTCTAGTTTAAATGAAATCCTCTTGCCTCAGCCTCCCAAGTAGCTAGGATTACAGCCATACGCCACTACACCTGGTTAAAAAAACACTTCCTGGGCTGGGGATTTAGCTCAGTGGTTCTGCTGCCTGCCGCACAAGCGCAAAGACCTGAGTTTAATCCCTAGTACCAAAAAACAGACAAAAAAAACACTTCCTAATGAGTCCTTGTTTAGTACTCTGGCACTGGTCTGGGGATAACAGAAAAGTGCAAGACATGGGACATACTCTTCTGTAGCTTACATTCCAGTTGGAGAGGTAATCAGAATGGGTAGGTACACACACATTAAGTCATCTAACAGGTATCTATCGAGAGAACAACTACATGTGTAGGTCTGCTAGGTCCTAGTGTGATGCCAGAGATTGTCTATAATCTCACTGAAGGAAAAGATATTTTTAGGTAAGAACTTTCTGTAGAAAGTAAGTACCAGAGAGCTAGGGATTTAGCTCAGTGGCACCATGCCTGCCTTCCAAGCGCAAGGTCCTGAGTTCGATCCCCGGTACTGGAAAAAAAAGAAAGAAAGTGCCAGAATGAGTGAGCCATGGTAGGAGAAGAGGAAATCCTGGTGAGCCGTCCTGGGTGAGCAGCGCCTCTTGGTGAGGTGGGCCTGCGGCACAGGCCGTAAACCTGGTATGTGTCCCGGCCAAGGCTGAGGCAGTAGTCTGGTGATGTGGGGGTACCACACATTTAGACTGAGAGGTCATACACACTGAGGGCCAAACAGCACAGTGCAGTGTGCAATGTGTGTCTGGCAGATTCTGAACACTGTTCCCAACCCTGAGTTGGACTGGTAGGAATTGGATGGTGGATGGAGAGGGCTCTGGATGGAGAAGAGCGGAGCGAAGGCTTGGAGGTGGCAGTGTGCCCCTCCTGTGGGAGCCTGACAGCAGAGGCAGAACATGTGTCCTCTCGAGCCAGGATCGGTGACGCTGGCTGGGAAAGATGGAGCTAGGAGGGTGGCAAGGGGGTCCTGCCTGTCACTACTTCTCTTCCCTCCTATTGTGCAGCTGGCTGAGAGTGACTTTGCTTCCACGTTCCGGCTGCTCACAGTCTTCGCTTATGGAACATACGCTGACTACTTAGGTAACCAGCAGGGCTTGAGCTTTGGAGCAGCAGAGGTGGGAGAAGGGCAGTTTCTAGGGGGATTTAGCACTTCCAGGAGCCCAGTGTTGTGGTGCACACCTGTGATCCCAGCACTGTGGGAGGCTGAGACAGAAGAATCCTAAGTTTGAGCCCAGCCTAGCAACTTAGACCCTGTCTCAAAACTTAAATCAAGGCCCAAGGCTGAGGATGTAGCCCAGTGTGAAGGCCCTTGGTTCAATTCCCAGTACCACACACACAAAAAGTTCCTTTGATGCCCCCTCAGATACGTTAGGTGTATAGGGTCAAGACCTACCGTGACATGGGAAGGAAGCTGGGGCTTCCTGAGAAACTGAAAGTACGGTTCCCCGCACTTTGTCCTTTCTCCTCAGCTGAGGCCAGGACTCTTCCCCCACTCACAGAGGCGCAGAAGAACAAGCTTCGGCACCTTTCTGTCGTCACCCTGGCCGCCAAAGTCAAGGTAAGTGACACGACCTCACCCTGTGCAGAGCCCAAGTGGCGAACGCATCCTTTGTGCGTCCAGGAGTTGGTACCGGCCAGACCCTGGCCCTGGCCCTGGCTGCTTCTCTGAACACCCCCTGACACCGCCCTGCTAGCTCAGCTCCCTTCTGCAGCCATTTAGACTGAATATTCTAGGGCTGGGGATTTAGCTCAGTGGTTCCACCGCCTGCCTAGCAAGCGCAAGGTCATGAGTTCAATCCCTGTTACCAAAAAAAAAAAATAGCATTGTAGACTGAATATTCTTAGTTTCCCATTTTATGTCTCAACTTAAGATGTAAGTGAACATCTTTGGGTTTTTGATCAGAATAGCAACTGGGATGCTGATCACGTGTGGCTGGACACTCGCCTGCCCCCTGAATGTACACAGGCCCTGCCAGCACAGCCTTTGGGCTGGGGCGGCTTCTCTTTGTTCGAATTAGAAGTGTAGAAGTCAGAAGCACATCTGCATGCCTGTGTTTTGTTAACTCTCTACCCGAACCCCCAGTTTACCCTCGTCCAGTTGTTACTGGGCTATTGAGTCATTGTTCATGATTTTACTGAGATCCGGCCATTGTGTGTGGGGAAGGAACCAAATGCAGATGACACACTGAGTACTGTACCTCCAGACCCCCGCCTCGTTGGGCTGATCCCCCACCAGGGGATGTGGGGTAGTGAGGCATAAGGCTGTCGGGGAGCAGCCTTGTGGGGTTTTTTTTTTGGCCTGGGGATTGAACTCGGGACCTTGTGCTTTCAAGGCAGGCGGTGGAACCACTAAGCTAAATCCTCCCGGCCCTGAGCCTTGTAATTTATTAAAGACCGTCTTTGTGCCACTGTTCCTGAGCTGGGATACTTTGCCTCAGAACCAAGCCTGTGCAGGATAGGATGCAGGATTAGGAGAAGGGCCATGGGCATGGGCCAAGGGGACCCAGGGGAGGAGGATTCGGGAGCCCTTCCTGCTGCCAAACCTCCCAGACCCCAGCCCGCCTCTCGCCCCAGTGCATCCCTTACGCGGTGCTGCTGGAAGCCCTGGCTCTGCACAACGTGCGGCAGCTGGAAGACCTCGTGATCGAGGCCGTGTATGCTGACGTGCTTCGAGGCTCCCTGGACCAGCGCAATCAGCGGCTGGAGGTCGACTACAGCATTGGGAGGGACATCCAGCGCCAGGACCTCAGTGCCATTGCGCGCACCCTGCAGGAGTGGTGAGGCCTGTGTGCTGGCCCTGGCCCTTCCCTTTTCCCACCAAGAAAGGGAGTGGTGCTTCTGGGTGAGGGAGGGCGGGGCCACCAAGGTAGAGTGGGAGGAAGGGAGAAGTAAGCCCCTTCCTACCAGGGCCCTGGGCCGGGTGGTGCCCTGGGAGTAGTAATTGGGGAAGGACAGGGGTGTGTGCTTGAGGGAATTTTTTTCTTTTGTTTTTTTTGAGACAGGGTACCATACAGTCTGAACCATATAGTTCAGACTACCCTTGAACTCACTATTATCCCCTGGCTGACCTGGAACTGGTGGCAGTCCTCCTACCTCAGCCTCCAGAGTGCTGGGTTATAGGCATGCACAACCACATTCACCTTTCTTTAAGGGACCCTAATTGGGAGGTGGTCATCTCGAATAGGCTGGCCTCAGTCCCTCAGTTTGTAATGCCAGTGTCCATAAGCTGCATGCCTCTTCTTGGTCTTTTTCTCTTTGTCCCTGCCTGACTTTATTATGTCCCCTTTTTTTGGCAGTACCGGGATTAAGGCCAGGGCCTTCTACACTCTAGGTGGGCTCTGCTACTGAGAGCCGCAGCCCTCAGCAGTCATAATTCACCATTTGTGCTCTCCAGCATCTCCGACCCTATTTTGTTTCCACTTCCTGTTCCCATCTTGCACTTCCTTCTACTCTCTTCCCCTTCGGCCCCCCTCACCGCTGGGGGCAGTTGTGGCTGGTTCCCAGGCACCCCCGTGAGGGCTCCACCTAGACAAGGACTCGGCTGTTCGAGGTTCCTCGTGGATCTGATCCCAGCCCTCCTTCGCTGAGCTCCTCTCCGTGTTGCCGCAGGTGCGTGGGCTGTGAAGTTGTGCTGTCGGGCATTGAGGAGCAGGTGAGCCGCGCCAACCAGCACAAGGAGCAGCAGCTGGGCCTGAAGCAGCAGATCGAGAGCGAGGTGAGCCATGCTGGCGGAGGGTTATGGACATTGCGGTAGCAGTGGACAGGGCCGGCAGGGGCTGTCTAGAGCCTCTCCCGTCACCCTCTGTGCCCTTCCTCCTGGCAGGTCGCCAACCTTAAAAAAACCATTAAAGTCACCACGGCAGCAGCAGCTGCAGCCACGTCTCAGGACCCTGAGCAACACCTGACCGAGCTGAGGGAACCCGCTCCAGGCACTAACCAGCGCCAGCCTAGCAAGAAAGCCTCCAAGGGCAAGGGGTGAGCTTCAGAAGCCCTGCTCTCCTGCAGCTCCCTGGCTGCTCCACTCCCTTTAGTCCTTTTCATGGAGTAGCAAGGCGGGGGCCTCCAGGGCCGAGGGGATCCCCTGCATCTTCTCTCTCCCCCTTGTCAGGCTCCGGGGGAGCGCCAAGATCTGGTCCAAGTCAAACTGAAGGGACTGTCGTTTCTTCCCTGGGGATGTGGGGTCCCAGCCGCCTGCATCCTCAGGAGTCCTCAGCGCCTTCCTGTGCCCCGGCCAGCTGATACTAGTTCATGACCTTCCGCCTCCTCCGCCCGAAAGCATAGGCCACAGCCTCCTACGGAGGCAGCCAGTACAGGTCATGTTTTTGTTGGTACCTTTGTTTCTCATGACTTTGCTGTGTCCCCCGCCCCGCCTCCCTGCCACGCTCTCCTGTATTTCTTTAAGAGCTCAGCCTCTGTCCCTCTCCTGACTTCTGTCACTTGGTGGGTGTGTGGTCCTGATGGGGGTTGCTGTCTCCAGCATAACCCGCAGGGGTTCTCCTGCCCCCATCCCTGCATGCCTGACCCCCAATTCCTGCTCCCTACCCAAGCCTCTGGGGCAGCACCTTTATTCCCACCCTGAGGATCCTGGGAGCCAGTCTCCCTTTTGGGGGTCACTGGGCACTTTGATCCCAGAATCTGACACACAGCAGTTGTTTCCTGTCTCCTCCCTGTGGGTGCTGGGAATGAGGCTGCCTCCCGGAGTGGGAGCCTGAGAAGGACAGAAGCTGTTTCTTAGGGCCTGACTGCACTGGGAGGCTTGATGGCAATCCTGGAAGGGTGTATCCCTTTGTACATTTGGTGGCAAGGGGAAGGGAATATAGATTATATTTAAAAAAAAGAAAAAGGTTTATATGCATATATCTATATATAACACGGCACAAATAAACCTATGAGAAGTCTATCTACAAACACACCTGACGCTGGGTGTTCTCACTCTGTGGATGGAAAGTGACTCATCCCGGCCCACTCTGCAGAGTGCTGGGCGATGAAGAGAAGCAGGTCTGCTGGCAGAGTCCAAGACCTCTATCCGGCTCTGGCCATGGACGGCTGCACTCCCAGCCCAGAGTGTGGTCAGAAGAAAAGGACCCTTAGGAACACCGACATGATGGTCACAGTGCCTGCTCCCTTGGAGCTTCCACTCAGCCTCTTTCCCTCCACCTCAGGGATGCAGAAGGGGAAGAGTGGACAATGAATTTGAACTTTCACATTAAATCTCTCCAGAGGGCTGGGGTGTAGCTCAGTGGTAGAGCGCTTGCTTGGCACGTGCAGGCCCTGGGTCCAGCCCAGCACCGCACACCAGCAGGCACGCGCATGCAACTGTCAGCCGTGTCCGACTCCCTTCTCGTCCCAGTGGGAGCTCCTGGGAAGTGTGTGGGAGGACAGGCTGTGCCTGGCTGCAGTCAGAAGTGGGAAGTGAGGGCCCTGAGAGGGTGGAGCTTGCGGTCCTGAGGGACAGTGGAGCCTGAATGGTCTCCGCAGTGGACACCCTCAGCTTCTCAGCTTTGCCGTAGACAAGCTTCTCTGCAACTCCTTCCTCCCCGACCTTCCCGTGTGTAGAAGGGTGAAGACCCTGTCCCCAGCCCTGTCTGTGCCCCAGTTTTCCCTTTGGAACTTAGTCTCCTTTCCGGAAGCTGGTTCCCGCTGATGGCCCATGACTTCCCAGACCTCCAGTCCTGTGCACCAGTGGAGGAGCCTGGAAGAATGCTTCGGACTGCAGTGTAGCCTGGGCTTCCATTGTGCAGGCCCATGCACATCCATAGGGTCATACAGGTGCAGTTTATTTCTGATTCATCAAGCCAGAGCTGGCCATCAAAGCATGAGGAAGGGGTAGTAGACTGTAGACAATCTTCTTACCACTTGCACACTCAAACACCTAACCCCTACTGTATCAACTAGATGATTTTAGGGCCAGACACCACAATAACACATAATAAGAATAGGAGATGTTGCCTTCATGAGAGCTCTGAGTGCATACACTAAAGTTAATGAAAATGGGTCCCCAAGCCCTGGGAGTGCAGCACGCAGCAGGAAGTGAGTTTCAGCGCTCCCCAGCCCTTTCCGTCCTGGCCTTACACTTCCACTTGGCACTAGATTCTCAGAGCAGGAACCACGAGGAGAACCTTGCATGTAGGGATGTAGGCGTCCTGCTCTTTTGAGAGCCTAAAATTGTCTTCCATGAAACCATAAAGGTTGGGGGCCACTGGATTAAAAGGTTAAACTGAAATCTGAAGCTGAAAATGACAGGTGCACATCTTAGGCATCAAAGATCAGCCAAAAAAACAAAAAAATCAGCGAACAGGTAGTCAATTATGAAATACTGTTGAAAGAGAAGTTCTGAGCCTAGGTGAATCTTCCGTGAATGGGTAAGGTAGAATTTTTTTTTAGATGAGAAAATCTTTTATCATATTTAGAATCAAAATATCCCTTAAAATATTTACATTTTACAGTAAAAAAGATAGCAAAACACAAGATCATGTACGAGCTTAATTATTCAAGTTCTGAAGAGCCAAAAAATGAAAAGGAAAACAGTGGCCTGCCACAAGCTGTTGTGTATGGTAATAAATTTCTTCAGTAACAAATGTACCTCTTGGAATTCTGATTTGTTACCAGCTGCTCAACTGACTGGTCAGTGTAATACAGTTATGAGGCTGCTTGGCTGTGTGGGCCCTCTACGGTTTTCTTTAAAACCAGTGCAATTTTATGTCAGTTTTTTTTGTTTTGTTTTGTTTTCTTTTCTTTTGGTACCAGGGATCGAACTCGGGTCCTTGTGCTTGTGCAGCAGGCAGTGAAACCACTGAGCTAAATCCCCGGCCCCTAGTGCAATTTTAAATAAACTTAGAGTACACATTACTTGAGTTATTATATAAAGGACATTCACTAGAGGTGGCAAATATATTCCATAGTTGGGCGTTTTTACCAATTAAGGAATAAAAACAAATTTCTAAGCCTTTATTGCATATTTTTGCTTGTTTTGTTCCCTATCTAGTTGAAGGTGGCCTCAAACTCCTGGCAATCCTGCCTCAGCCTCCTGAGTGCTGAGATTACAATCGTGTACCACCATACCCACCTTTTTATTGCATATTAATAAAATCGTGCAGCAATATAAAACTCAGCAATGCTAAATTCCTGTGAGTAGATTCAGTGGGAAGAGCTGGGCACTGCACGGCAGACAGGGCCCAGTGTCCCGCAGTCCACCAGCAGGAAAGTACCGTATCCAGCAGTCATGTAAATGTCATCCTGCAGCAGCCTGTGGACTTTGCTTTTCACTTTTTGCTCTTGACAGTGAGGTCCCCATCTTGATACCTCTCCCTGTCCTTCCCCCCGACCTCTGTGTTTCCTTTTTTCTCGATCTTTTTCCTTTTCATGGCTCTGCATTTCTGTTATCTCAGGTAAAGCAGAATCTTGAGAGGCGTCTAAGCAGTGCATGAGTTCTGTTGTTGTCTAACAAAATCACCCTTAGCTGGATGGGGCAATGCACACCTATGGTCACAGCCCAGACTGGGGACTTAGCAGGACATCTCTCCAAAAGGCTGAGAATGTAGCTCAGTGCAAAGGCCCTGGGGTTCCTTCTCCAGTGCAGCCCAAAAACAAAAACAGCATTCAGTTAGCTGGGGATGGCTATCTAGCCAGTGATAGAGCACTTAACCCAGCACACCAAGGCCCTGGGTTCTGCCACCAATTTTAAAAAGGAGAAGGGCCGGGGCTTTAGCTCAGTGGCACAGTGCCTGCCTTGCAAATGAAAAGTCCTGAGTTCAATCCCCGGTACAAAAAAAAGGAAAAGGAAGAAAAACAGCCATGGTAAATATAATAGACTATTCTTTTAAATTCTTTAAAATGTTTATAAGGGAAATGCAAATCAAAACTACATTGTAAGGGCCGGGGATTTAGCTCAGTGGTTCCACTGCCTGCCTTGCAAGTGCAAGGTCCCAAGTTTGATCTCTGGTACCAAAAATAAAAAATAAACACTACATTGTAGCGGACCATGGTGTCACACACCTGGGAGGCTGAGGCAGGAGAATCACTATGAGTTTGAGGCCAGCCTGGGCTCCATAGTGAGTTCAAGGCCAGCCTTCCTGGACTACATAGCGAGACCCTGTCTCCAAAAACCAAAAACTGCATTGAAAAACCTTTTTAAAAATACGTTGAGATTTTATCTCACCCTGCTCAGAATGGCTGTCATCAAGGGAACCCTTTTTTACTGTTGGTGGGAGTGCAATTCAGTACAGCCACTATGGAAAGCAGTGTGGAGGTTCCCCAATAAACTAAAATAGAGCCACCACCTGATCCAGCTGTACCGCTTCTGGTATATACCTGAAGGACTGGAATGGGCGTCCTACAGGCACCTGCATACCCATATTCATCGTCCATCATAGGTGCCGAGTGGTAGATAATGGGTAGAGAAAACTTCCCTGTGATCTACGCAGTGGAGATTATTCAGCCACAGGGAAGGGTAAACTTCCATCCTTTGCAAGAAAATGGATGGATCTGGAGAGCAGGCTGAGTGGAGAGAAAGTCACTAGAGAGACAAATATCACACACTCACCCTGATACGTGGGCCCTAGAAGAGATGACAAGAAAGTAGGAGAGAGGCTTATTACTAGACAAGCGGAAGGCAAAAGAGGGAAGGAGTGGGTCCAAGGGCAGGCAGTGGGGATGGACATGAGCCAAGTGTACAGGAGACGCCTCAAGATGGGAACCTAGGTGGGGTGGGGAGGCCAAGGGGAGTGATGGGTGGGGTCAGGGTGCAAATGATGGGCACTGTTACGTGCACGTCGGAATCTACCAGAAAGGAACCCACAACCCAAATAAAGAATAAAAAATACTTGTGACTAAAAATCAAAAGAAAAGAGGAGGGAGCCAGGGATTTAGCTGAGTGGTTCCGCCACCTGCCTCGCAAGCGCAAGAACCAGAGTTCAATCCCTGGTACCAAAAAAAAGAAAAAAAAAAAGAAGGGCTGGGAATTTAGCTCAGTGGTTCTGCTGCAAGGTCCTGAATTCGATCCCCAGTACCAAAAAAGAAAAGAAAAAAAAAATACTTGTAACTGCTGAAAAAATTACGTTTGATGTTTATTTCCTCAAAATAGACTTTCTTTTTTTTTTTTCAAGATAGACTTTCTAATCTACTTGTAAGTTTGAGCTTGGTATGGTGGCACACGCCTATAACCCCCAGCACTTGGGAGGCTGAGACAGGATGATCAATCATAAGTTTGAGGCCAGCTGGGGCCATGTAGTGAGACATAATGATCTTGCCTCAATAAAACAAAAGACAAAAAACAAAACAAACAGCAAAACAACAACATATGTATGTATATCTATGCCTAGAACTAGGCATTTTTATTTTTTATTTTATTTTTTTGGGGGGGCCTACCAAGGATCAAACTCTGGTCCTTGTGCTTGCGAGGCAGGCAGCGGAACCACTGAGCTAAATCCCTGGCCTTATTTTTTATTTTTTAAGGTTTTTTTTTCCTCCATTAAGTTTATTGGTACATTTTAGGTATACAATACAGTTACATTTATCTTTGGGATCTTGTACCTTTACATGATGTATCTTGGTTCTTATTTTTTCCCCATCCCCTGCCCTCCATTCAACCCCTCTACCCCTCCCTATTTACAAAGACTTTGTTTCGATTTTTTTCCTTTTCTCATATTTTTTCTTTTCCCTTCTTTCCTTTCCCCTACCCCTCCCACTTCCCTTACTCCTTTAGACCTTTTCTTCCTATTTCACAATATCAGTTATACATTTTGATCCTTATTTACACTTTCAGTTTTTCATACCAGAGAAACTATTTGATATTTACACATGCGTGTCCTATTTATTTCACTCAAGAGTATGGCCTCAATGTGCATCCACTTAGCTATAAATGTCTCTAGTTTCTCATTCTTTGTGGCTGAGTAGTACTCTATTTTATTAAAAAAAAAAAAAAAAAACCCACATCATCAATATCCAGTCTCCAGTTGATGGGCACTTGGGCTGTTTCCAAGTTTTAGCTATTACAAACTGTGCCGCTATAAACCTGGGCATGCATGTATCACTGTGGTGTGATTCTTTTAATTCTTTTGGGAAGATACCCAGCAGGGGAATAGCTGGGTCAAATGGGACCTCTAGCCCTAGTTCTTTGAGGTATTGCCATACTGATTTCCACAGTGGTCCCACCAGTCTGCACTCCCACCAACAATGGAGAAGGGTTCCTTTCTCTCCACACCCCTGCCAGCATTTGTTATTGGTTGATTGCTTGATAGCAGCCATTCTTCCTGGGGGGAGGTGGAATCTCAGTGTTTTCATTTGCATCTCTGGAATGACCAGTGATGTTGAACTTTTTTTTTTTTCGGTACCAGGGATCAAACTCGGGTCCTTGCACTTGAGCAGCAGGCGATGAAACCACTGAGTTAAATCCCCGGCTGTGAACATTTTTTCATATGTTTATTTTCTGCTTTTAATTCTCTGTCTGAGAAATGTCTGTTCATTTCAGATGACCATTTTTGAATTGGGTGTTTATATTTGGGGGGGGGTCTGATTTTTTTTTAGTTCTTTATATATTCTACATAGTAGTCCTTTGTCTGAGGAACAGCTGGTAAAAAAATTTTCCCACATTGTGGGTTGTCCCTTCACTCTGTTGGTGGTTTCTCTTGCAGTGCAGAAGCTTTTTAATAAGATGAGATCCCAAGGGCCAGGGATTTAGCTCAGTGGTTTTACCGCCTGCTGCACAAGCACTAGGACCTGAGTTCGATCCCTGGTACCAAAAAAAAAAGATGAGATCCCAGTTGTTGATTCTTTGTGCTAGTTCCCATGCTACTGAGGATTTATTCATAAAGTTTTTTCCTAATCCAATGTCTTTGAGAGTTCTACCTAACTTATCTTTCAGCAAGTTTAGTATTTCTATTTTAATATTTAGATCTTTAATCCAGTTTGATTTTAATTTAGGGCATTGTGAAAGATAGGGGTCTAGGTTTAATCTTTGGCAAGTTGAAATCCAGTTTTTCCAACACCATTTATTAAAGAGGCCATCTTTCATCCAGTGAGGATGGTTGGCTCCTTTGTCAAAGATAAGGTGGCTGAGTATGTCTGGAGTTGTTTCTGCATCTTCTAATCTATTCCACTGATCCTTGGGTCTGTTTCTTTGCCAGTGCCATGCTGTTTTTAACACAGTGGCTTTGTAGTATAGTTTCAAGTTGGAGATTATGATACCCCCTGCCATGTCTCTGTTGCCTAGAATTGTTTTTGCTATTCTAGTTCTCTTCTGGTTCCAAATGAATTTTTGGATTGTTTTCTCTAGTTCTGTAAAATATACTGTTGGGATTTCAATCAGGATTGCATTGAATGTGTATAGCAGTTTTGGAAGTATGGCCATTTTCACTATATTGGTTCTTTCCACTCAGGAACAGGGGATGTCTTTCCATTTTCTTATATCCTCTGTGATCTCTTTTTTCAGAGTAGAACTAGGCATTTTTAGTATTCAGCACTTGGTATTTGCCATTTGTAGTAATATACATGACAACTACAGTGTGAGAAGAGAGGGTAAAGAGACCTATGTGTTGGTAAAATATCTCTATTTCATTTGAAGTGATTACACTGCTTCTGAGTAGACCAGGAAAGTCTGCATTGTGTAAACCCTAAGATAGGGTTAGAAAGGCACAGGCAGGCTGAATCGGCACACCAGCTTTTTTCTTTTTCTCAAATGAGATCTGACAGTGCTGCCCAGGCAGGCCTCTGACTTGTGGGCCCCTACCCCAGCCTCCTGTGTAGCTGGGATTTTAGGCCCAGTCCACCAGGCCTAACATCGCTGCCGGCTTTTGCAAGTGGAACCGTGCAGGAATGTAGGTCACCTCATCCTCTGGCATGTTTCGGTGGCTGGTTTCACACTCCCGCGTCAGAGCTGAGTGTTGCCACAGACAGTGGGCCAGTCAAGCCCGGCACATCGCTAGACTCTGGGATAGGCTCACTAAGGCCCGCTGATCTCACTGAAAGGGACACTCACCAAGAAGGAAAATAATTCTATATAGAAAATTTAGTGAAACAAGTCAATGGATAAATTAAAGTGGAATACTCAACATTCAAATAAACCTAGATAAATCTGGAAAGGGACAAGCAAATAATATGATAGAAATAAATCCAAACAGGGCTGAGGATTTAGCTCAGTGGCAACACACCTGCCTCACAAACACAAGGTCCTGAGTTGTATCCCTGGTATTGAAAGAAAGAAAAAGAAAGAAATCCAAACACATGAATAGCTCTATTAAATGTAAGTAGGGCCAGGGATTTAGCTCAGTGGTGCTGCACCTGCCTGGCAAGCGCAAGGTCCTGAGTTCGATCCCCAGTACCAAAAAAAAAGGCCAATTATAGATATTTTCAAAAAAACACAGGTGGGTTAAAAGTAAAAGAATGGAAAAAAGATTACACTTTCCAGATTGAAAGAAAGGTAAAATGGCTGTAGTATTATCAGAAAAAGTAAATTTTATTTTATTTATTTATTGTTTTGAGATGGGCTCACTATGCAGTTCATCTGGGCCTTGAACACACTATGTAGCCCAGACTGACCTTGAACTTGTAATGATCCTCCCAAGTACTGGGATTACAGACCTGAACCATCTTGCCTTGCCAGAAAAGCAATTTTAAAGAATCAATGAACCCTGGGGCTGGGGATGTATCTCAGCAGCACAGGGCCTGCCTGGCAAGCACAGGGCCCTAAGTTTGATTTCCTGTACCAGGAGAAAAAATCAGTGAGCCCCCAATTTTTCTTTTTCTGTGCTGGGGATTAAGCCTGGGGCTTTGTGTTTATATCTCCAGCCCAAAAGTTGATTATTTGAAATGATCAATAAAAAAAATAAACTTCCAGCCATACTAATGAAAAGACAGGGAGGGAGGAGAGAAAACAAACTGTCAGTTGCAGGAATAGAAGACGGGCTATGACTATAGACCCCAGAGGTTAAGCAAGGAACACTACGAATAGCAAAGTCAACAACTGGAATGAAATGGGCCTGTTCCTTTTTTTAGGAATACTTTTGTCCTTTCTGAAACTCACGCTGAAACTTGATTCCAAGTGCAGCAGTTCTGGGAGATGCTGGTGGATTAATGCTGTTGTAGAATGGGCTTCTAGAGTGGTTCCAGTCCTCCTGCTCCTGTGCGTGTAAGGAACGACCTTCCTGCCCTCCGGAGGGCACAGACTGGGCCACCCAACGCTTGTCCTCCCCAGCCTATGCTGCCCTTCTTCTTTGTCCTGGGAATCAAACCCAGGCCCTTCCCATTAAGTAAGCCACATCTCCACCCCCCCCCCTTTTTTTTTGGTATGGGGGATCAAACTCAGGTCCTTGTACTTGCACAGCAGGCGGCGAAACCACTGAGCTAAATCCCCGGCTCTCCGGCCCCTTTTTAAATTTTATTTTTTATTTTGAGATAGGGTCTTGCTAAGTGCCTAAATTGTCCAGGCAGGGCTGGAACTTGTGATCCTCCCAGCTCAGCCTCCCAGAGTGCTGGGATTACAAGTGTTTGCCACTCCACCTGGCTAGCATTTTTCCTTTTCTTTCTTTTGATTGTGTGACACGGTCTCGCTATGTAGTTCAGCCTGAATGGACTCTGCATGCTGACTCCCTCACCTCCCAGGGACAGTCCAGGGGCTTGGACCAGAGCGGGTGTCCTCCTGCTGCTCCTGGTCCCCAACCAGGCTGTGTAAGAGCAGACCCTGGGGCCAAGCAGGCTCCAGCCATCAGCACTGTGCAGTCTGGAGCCCGGGCCCTCAGTGCTGTGTCCTCAGGCTCTGCCCAGCCTTGAGGCTCCTTGGGAGAATGCAAGGTGGCCTCCCAGGCCCAGCCTCCATGATTCTCTTTCCTCCGGGGCCTCCCGTCCTAACTGCCCCCATCTACACCTCTCCTCCCTGGGCAGCCACACTGTCCCCGCCTCTCCCATCTGAAGGCCTCAGTGGTACAAAACAGCAAGGAGTGAAGGCGCCTCTCCCACACACCAGCCCAACAGAAAGGGCCAGAGCAAAGAAATCCATCGCTGATGTGTCTCCTTCCAGCCCTGGGTGACACTTCTGGGCTGGGAGCACGGGGCAGGCGGTAGGTGGGTTAAGTGGCTTGGTTAAGTGGGCTGGGAGACGGGGTTCCTATGGCTGGCTGGCCTCTTGTTCCGGGTGACCTCCATGTATGTCGCTTGAAGACTGAGTAGAGGAAGGGGGAGCAAGGGGTACCTAAGGCCTGTGACACTTACAAAAGGAGAGGGAAAACCCAACTGCAAGCAGGGTGGGGCCCGGTCTCCCAAAACATTTGTCGCTACTTGTCCATCTGAGAAAACTCGATGACCCACAGCGGGGACAGCGGAGGGCTGGGGTCAGGCCCAGGCTGGGAGCATAATTTCCACATTGTTTGAAGCATTGCAGGAGCCCTGAGGAAGGAGTCAGGAAGCAGGGACCAGAGGTTCCCAAAGGGCAAGACAGGGGCAGACAACTGGAAGAAACCGAAGAGAACAGTCACTTGTTCCCCACATGTGTCAAACTTTTTCTGCACTAGCTCTTAATTCTCGTAACTGTGAATCCATGTCCCCATTGCCACCTGGCCTAGAAAAGGCCCATTTTGCAAAGCAGGGAACTAAAGCTGAGAGAGATTAAGGGATCTTCCCAGAGTCATGGCTCCTAAGTGGTGCAGCCAGCTCTTGCTCATTCCTAGCTTCCCTCCTCTTTATTACCCTGCTTAGCCCCACCCCAAGCTCCTGCCTTTTCTGAACTATAATTTTCTGGGGTGGAGAAAGAGCCAGAGTCAGTCTGCCCATGTCCTCTGGACATTCATGGAGCCGGAGGCTGAGGGGAAGCCATTGTAATGGTGAGGCTGGGCCCGGATGGACAGCTGAGGACAGGAAGAGGCCAGCATCCCTCCCAAGTGTCTCTCAGGTGTGGACCCCAAACCGGCCCCCAACGGGGGAAGACTGTGGCCTGACTGGCAGCTAGCGGGGCCCTACAGGACTGAAGCCCAGGGAGAGGATGACCTGCTCAGGACGATGAGGATAGGCTAGTGGTACAGCTGGGCTCAGGGCAGTCTTGCTTAGAGATGAGGGTGTGGGTGTCCTAACCCCATCCTCTGCGTGGAGAACCCGGGTGGTGATGAGTGGTGATGAATGCCTACACCCGGAATGACACTTCAGGTGACGCCAGGAGCACCTGGATGCTTTCAGTGGCTGGGTTCCCTTGACCTGGCCATGCATCTTCAAGAGCTCCCTTTATGAGATTTTAACAAGATTTAGTAACAGCACCAGACTAGAAGTCAGAGCGACTGTTGGGCTCAACTTCATCTCTGCTCATTGAGCCATTGGACAAATAGGTGTGTTTTGTTTTGTGTTGTTTTGAGACTGGGTCTCACTATGTAGCCCATGCTGACTGCAAAACTCGTGATCCAAGCCAGGAATGGTGGTGCACACCTGTAATCCTACCACTTGGGAGGCTGAGGCAGGAGGATTTCTGTAAGTTCCAGGCCAGCCTGGGCTACACAGTGAGTTTGAGGCCAGATAGAACTACATAGCAAGACCTTCTCTCACAAACCAAACAACTAAACTCATGATTCTCCTTCAGCCTCCTGAGTGCTGAGATTACAGGTGTGTGCCACCACACTTGGCCCCTTATCCTCTTGAATCTACTTATCCACCAGACAGGGGGAAAATCCTCCCTTCCCTGGGGGACCCCAGTGTCCTTTGGCCGTTACTAGCAGCAAGCTCAAGAGGAAACCTGGCCCTGGGTGTAGCTCAGTGGCACCGAGCACACCTAGCATGCTGAGGGCCCCAGCACCACATACAGGCACACACAGGACCCCATCCTGAGACTTTCCTATTTGCCATCATAGAACAAGCCCCCGAGAGGGACAGGTGACCCATTTGGCTGGAAAGCAAGAGTGAACATCTTGAGAAAGGTGAGCTCCTTCTGTCCCCGAAGGACTGCTCAGGTTCCAGGTCAGTTTTCTTTGTTGGTCGCTACCAACTTCGGAGAAGGCTGACAGTGTTCTGGGCTCCTTCCTGCTCCCAGTGCCAGAGGACCTGCCTAGGGGTGGGCAGCCTGTTCCCCAGCACTGGTGAGCAAAGGACAGGGGTGCAAGGTGAGGGGCGGGACAGCAGGGCTGGCAGGAAGGTGACAGAGACAGGAGACCACCCCACAGGGGGAGGATAAAAACCCAGCCAGGCCGGGGATTTAGCTCAGTGGTTCCGCCACCTGCCTCGCAAGTGCAAGGTCCCGAGTTTGATCCCCAGTACCAAAAAAAAAAAAAAGAGCCCAGCCAGTCTTGCTCAGTCTTTTTCCATTCTCCTTTATTCCATAAACACCTAGTTACAAGTTGCACAAATCAAAAAATAAGGGAAAGGAGGAGGGCGGGGGAGTTCGGTGATGTGTGGGTGGGTGGAGAGTTGGGGACCAGGATGCTGCCTCACACCTCGGGCAGCTGAGGAAAGGGAGGACCCCTACACCTGAGGACCCTTCAGTGTGTGGCAGGGTTCGATGGGGCAGCGAGGTTTGGAGATGGAGCAGCAAGGTGAGAAAACAAGTTAGCGGACACAGGACTTGGCGGGAGGGGCCTGGAGACCAGAACGGAGGCGGGGCAGTGACAGGCTCTCCCTGAGGCCCCCAGGAAGAGGCGGGGGCAGCCTGCCTGTTATTTTAATATTAAACAGGGGTGGGAGTTGGAGAGGAGAAAGTTATTTCAGGGACGACTTCTCAGCCTCTCAGCCTTTACCTAGAGGACGAAAACGAGCACAGTCAGAGGGAAGTCAGAGGGAAGGGAAAATACAAACGACACTGGGAGCCTCCGCCTCCCTCCAGGGAGAGGTCTTGGGACAATCTCAAGCAGGCAGAGGTCACAGGTCCGCTCCCCGCCCCTCCTGGGGCTGTCATCCCCCTGCCTCCCCTCAGAACTTACAGGAGAGCCCAAGGCCAGGCCTGGGCCTTCACCAGTCATAGCGGCGGGACTGTCGGGAGGGGGAGTCCTCGGGGCCCTGGATGGCCAGGCGGGGGGGCCCCTCAGCCCTCCGGCCCCCGGCCGCAGAAGCCTCGTGCCGCCGGAATTCCAGAGGGCGCTGCTGCCGGAACCGGGAGGTCTCCCTCCGCCACTCGTCATCAAATGCGGCTGCCTCACCTGGGGAGCACAGGGTGGTCGTGGCGCCTCGGCACCCAGCCATGCCTTCTGCAACCCACAGCTGAGGGGAAGGCTGAGGGGTGGGGGCGGTGGCAGCGCACTCGGCTCTCACCATGGTCCCTGTCACTAGCAGGTGGAGGACACGACCACGGGACAAAGAACACTGCAATTATGCCAACTGGGGGTATTTAGCACATATTTGCTAATTTGAAAAAAATAAAGGAAGGAATAAGAAAAAATCAGTTCCACATGGGGAAGGGGAGAATATGATCAACACGTGACTACAGCAGCACCAGCCGCAGACCTGGGCAGACAAGGGGGCTTGGCCTGGGGTTCCCTGCATCTGAGCCTGAACTGCGAGTGGGGCAGAGCAGCCAGCTCACAGGGCCACCCGGGTGGTAGGGCAGAAGAGCCTCACTCTCGTCCAGGTTGATGTAGTCCTGCCGCTCCTCCTGGTCCCCTGTGCGGTGGTTTCGGGAGCGTTGGAGGATGTGAGCCCTGTCCCGGATGTGGTGGCCAATGGACATCTGCTCAAGTCCACTGTCCGAGTCCCGGACAGTCCTCCGAGTCTCCCGGATCTGTGAAAGGTCAGAAGCCAGCACACACGGTGGCCCCTTCCGAAGCTCTGGCTACACCATCCCGGCACAAACACCACCCACAACCCGCTCCTGAGGAAGAGCAGGGCTCCCTGAGTGACTCGCCTCTGCCCACTCACCCCGCCTGGTGCAGAGCGCATCTCCGAGGTCTCCTGGTAGACTTTGGGGGCACCATCACCCGTGTTGGAGTAGGAGATGACAGTGGAGGACGAGAAGGTCTGGCAGTTTCCCCCCGCTGTCATGTGTTCCTGAGGAGACAGGGAGGCCTGGACTGACTGGGAATCCCCTGGGCAAAAGGAAGTGCCTTCAGCTAATGTTTTTTTGGCGGTCTGGGAGATTAACCCCAGGGTGCTTCATCACTGAGCTCCATCTCCAGACTTTTTTATTTTGACAAAGGGTCTAAGTTGGGCAGGCTGATCTTGAACCTAGACCCTTCTGCCTCAGCCCCCTAAGTAGCAGCAGTGACAGGCACGCACCACTGTACCCAGTCAGTTGCCTGGTCCTGCCAGCATCTTGCCCACAAAGTGTGAGAATGAGGGAAACACTGCTATCCCCCGAATTCCTGAGTCCAATACTTCACAAGAACCAAAGGCTGACTTGCATATTTCAAACGAGTGTGGTGCCTCCACACACCAGGGCCTGAGGGCAGGGTCAGGCTCCCCGCACCCCTCTGTCCTCAGAGGACAGGTGCTGCCGGGCATCACCGAGGAGAAAGGACCCGGGAAGATGGGGCACAACTCTCACCATGTTCCCAATCATGTCGTTCATCATTCCGAACATGTCCATGAAGCCACCCGACTGGAGGAAAGATGAGGAAGACAGGAAAGCAGTCAGGGCTCAGAGCCGATGCTACTTAAGCTGGGTCAGCTGCCTGGCTCCAGGTGCCCTTCCTCTTCTTCTGCATCATAGCAACTGCTCTTCCTTCTCATTAATGCTCCTGCGCCTCTCCAAGTACCTCCAAGGAGGTGGCCTCCTCCTCCCAGCTTGTCGAACTCAACTCTCCCTTTCCTGACTGCCTTATTTCCCCCACCTTTAGGGAGTGAGCCAGTTCTCATGAGGATACTAACCTCATCTTCAGGCCCTTCCCTTGCACCTCCCTCCTCAGGAGACTGAACTTTGCTTGGTACACAATTACATGGAGTCAGCAACAATCCCACCTCAGGCTCCAGGGCCAGACTGGCTGCCGACTGACTTTGCTTATAACAGTATCGAGAGAGGATCGGGGACCACCAGGAGGCTGTTCCAAAGTGCACATTTGGAAACAACATTTAAAGTTGTACAATATATCTAAAGTAAAGAGACACACGAGGACTCACCATTCCTAGCATCCCGAAGGGGGAGACAGCCCCAGCCTGCAGTACAGGAAGAACACAAAAGAGAGGTTACTTAGAGCCCGTCCTGCTTCCTTACAATTGCAAACCAGGCCCGTGACCTCCATTTTTTTTTTCTGACCTCTCAAATGGGGTCACAAAGCTCTTTTCCTAGCCCCGGCCTCAACTCCTGCAAAAACCATTTCACTTGCTAAGTTGCTTGTAGTGCAAGAAAAAGAGCCGTCAACCTTCCCCTGGATCTCAAGGGACGTTCCCGCGCCAATACCTGAACCCTGCGGCTGGCAGGCCTGGTCCCAGGCATGTTGCCATCTGTGATGCTGAGGAAGGGACTGTATCCAAAGCCGCCGGACAGCATGCGGCTCATGTGCTGACGGTGAATGGCGAAGGGGTCCCTGCGGAGGGAGCGGACAGTAAGGGTGGAGGGGCCACCTCTCCCCACCCTGAAACAGCGGCCACGGGGCACAGGGGCACAGATGCGACTCCCTTCGAGTATGAACTGCAGCGGCGAACCAGACCAGTCCTAGTCACGCGAACCCATATGTGTGTCTGAACTGCTGAAGTGGAGTGGGATGTGAGGGGGAGGGAGTTCTCACATCAGGAACATGGGATCCTCGGGCTCCACGTCCCTCATGAAGCGGAACATCCTGATCTCAGCTCCAGGGGGCTCCACACTGGAAAGATGGGGCGGCTAGGTTACTCGGGGGCGGCCGGGCTTCTGCACACCCGCTCAGGGCGCGGTCCCCTCCCAATGCTGCAGCTGACCCCCAACTCCGGGGAGCGCCTTCTCCAGGGGTCCCATGCAAGCCCTGGGGCGTGAAGAGCGCTCCAGGGCCCCCCTCCATCCGGCCGGGAAAGCCTCCGACAGAGGTGTCCGGCCTCCCCCACTCGAGCCATCGTCCGGCCTGGAGCGCAGCGCGGCTTTCCCCGACGCCGCAGCTTCCGAGGAGAACCGGGGCGCCGGGCCATCACGGACCCGGCCAGCCGCGGCCGCCCCCGGAGCCGGCCCCACGGGCGGCGAGCGAGCCAGGCCCGACTCCCCCGCACCCTGCTCCGGGCCCTGCACCCACGGCCCGCCGCCGCCTACCGCTCCCCGCCTCGGGCTCAGCGGCCCATCCGGCCGGTTCCGCGCCTCGGGGCGCCGCAGGATCGGGGTCGCCGCCCGGGGCGCGGAGATGGGTCGGGGTTCGAGCTCCGGGTCACCTCCTAGCTCAGCTGCCACCTCCGTTCCCCGCCCTCGGCCCGCGGAGATCCAACCTCTGCCGCCCGGGAGGAAGTGACGTCATGGCGAGCCGCCCCGGGCATGGGGCGGGGCCTCTGGTGGGCGGGGGCTCGTTAATCAACCAAGTCTGGTTTCCGGGAGTCTTGGCACCTCCCCGCGAGGTGGGGGAAAGAGGGGCGGAGTCGTTCCCAGGGGCCTCGGGACCGGGACGGGGCGCCAGCCTGCTGGGCGGGGGGCGGATCCGGGGGACCTTTAGGCTGGCTGTCCACCGGGAGGGGCCACGCGAGGCCCTGGAGGAGGGCGCAGCGTTTCTGTCCCAGCGGAGAGGGGCGCTCCGGCTGGGCTGGCCCTCGAGGTGACGCGGACGGGAAGGGCTCCCGCTCCAGCCCGAGCCTAGTTCCCGCTCGGAAAGTCGGACGGGGACGGAGGAGCCGGGTCAGGACACCGGCCGCCAGATGGCGCTCCTCGGCCAGGCTGGATCTCCGCCCCTGGGGAACTGGTTGGTGCCGGCCCAGCTGCAGGCCGCCAGTGACCCAACTGTGGAGGTTGATTGGGCGAAGCTCTGGTTCTGAAACCTGTTAGGTTTGGAGTTTTCTTTTTTCTTTTTTGATGCTGGGATGGAATGCAGGGCCTCGTGCATGCTGAGCACGTGCTCTGCCACGGAGCTACATCCTTGGCCCCTGGAATCTTCTAGTTTAGCGCTCATCTCCCCCTTTCTTTGCCCTAATGCTGCCCTCAAAAGCTTTCAGTCCTGCCCTGAGCTTTCGTGCCTTTAGTGAGTTAGGTAGGTCCAGGGTCTTAAATTTGGGAGAAGCAAGGGGTGAAAAGCTCCAAGCCCATGGGCTGATACTTTGACACACTTAATCTCTGGCATAAAATCTGGCTCTGCTGGAGAGACAGGCCCTCCCCCGGGGTCAGGGATTTGAACTGTACAGGGTAGACTTTGAACTTGGCTCATCCAAACTCGGCTCCCCAGAGTTCTTTACTCTGGCTCTTAGCCAGTCGAGTTGGTGCTTTGTGACCCCAGGAGAAAGACTTGTTCCCGACCATTCCCTCGGGGAGGAGGAGAGGGTCCCTGGAGATTCAGGAGAAGAGGCTGGGTTAGGGCTTCTCAGGTTTCTTTGGACTTGATCTTTATTAAAGAGGAAATACTAGTGGAGAAGGGGGAATCGAGACAGATAACGGAGATAAGCTGCCTCACTGACAAGTCAAAGGGAAACGGAAAGAATACAAGAAAATTAGCTTTTCATTGATATTTCTGGGGAAGAGTCTTAGTAAAATCTCTTAAGTTTCTGGACATTGTACCGTGGAGCTGCTCCTTCTGCTTGTCACAAAGGAGAGCAAGTTGACACACAAACAAGCTACCCCAGTGAGCATTCTGCAACCCAGACCTAACTATGGAACCCTTCCCAGATCTTCTTTTCCTCTCCTCCTTCCAAAGCAAGTTTGCTTTTTGTTTTTGTTTTGTTTTGGGGGCGTCTTTTTGGTACCGGGGATCGAACTTGGGTCCTTGCACTTGCGCAGCAGGCGGCGAAACCACTGAGCTAAATTCCCGACCCTTGGTTTGTTTTTTGAGACTGAGTCTTGGTATGTAGTTCAGGTTGGACTTGAACTCACCATGTACCACAGGCCTCAAACTTCCAGTGATCCTCCTGCCTCAGCCTCCACAGTGCTGGGATTATAGGCATGGGTGCCATGTCAGGCTTCAAGGCAAGTTCTTTATTGTTCATAACCGATCAACAAATGTTAATGTTTGTTCACATGCATTCCAGGGGTTCACCACCACTGACCTCATGCATGGTAGGAATTACTCTACCACTAAATCACATCCCAGCTCACTTGCTTGCTTCTTTCTTTCTTTCTTTCTTTCTTTCTTTTTCTTTCTTTTCTTCCTTCTCTTCATTCATTCATTCATTCATTCATTATGAATGCATGGGGCAAGGTCTCACTAGGTTTCCCAGTCTGGCCTGAAACTTGTGACCCTCCTCCCCCAGCCTCCCAAGTAGCAGGGATTACAGGTGTGTGTATCACCTCACCCAGCTTCATTTTTACCTTTTTGTAATTTAAAATCATGAATTATCTCTCCTTATAATATTTACAAATTACAATTTAGCTTCTTACAGCCAAGCGTGGTGATGTACAGCTATATTCCCAGCACTCTGGTGGCTGAGGCAGGAGGATTGGGAGGCCAACCTAGGCTATATAGTGAATTCAAGGCCAGCCTAAACTACTTAACAAGACCCTCTCCAAAAAAAAGATCTTGTTGCTGTTCGCTTGTTGCTTGCTGCCTTCTGCAGCTCTGCAATGCCCCTCTGCCATGCCAGCCTGCCTTGGAGCCAGCCAATTAGGAACTGAAACCACTATAAACTGTGAGCCAAGATAAACGTTTCCTCCTTAAAAAAAAATCTTGGGCCTAGATTCCAGCACTCTGGAGGCTGAGGCAGGAGGATTGATGTGAGTTCAAGGCCAGCCTGGGCTACATAGTGAGACCCTGTCTCAAAAAACTAAAAAACAAAAAACAAACTTGAACATGTAGGAATGGAGGAGACGCACAAGGTCATTCTCAGCATCCCTGGAGACACAGCCGACAGGCTGTGATTTCACAAGTAACCAGAGTTTGTGTCTGCCTTTACCCCTTCTTCCCTCTTCTTCCTTTTCCTTCTCTTACCTCTTTCTCCCCCATCCGCCCTCCTTCCCTCCCTCCCTCCCTCCCTCCCTCCCTTCTTCCTTACTTCCTCTCTGCCCAGTGAATTGTGAGCAAGAGCTCCCGGGACTGGAGTTTGCGTTACAGATGACGTATAGGTGCTGTGATGTAGGTGGGAGGGCAGGCTCTGCCCAGCGAGGCAAAGGAGGGTGAGGGTTGCTGGAAGGACGAGACTCCAACCATGGTGATTCCTACATCTGTGCTCTTGCCAAAACAGGAAGTCCTTGAGTGGGAAGAGTGGCAGCAGCAGTGAAGGGGCCCTCTCCGCATGTGAGGTCACACATCTGGAGCAGACCCAGGGCAGTTGAATGTTTGAACAGAGTGAGGGCGGAGCAGGACATTGGGAAAGTCCAACAGTGCGCCTGAATTTTAGGCAGAAAAGCAATTTATGCATTTTAGGAAACTTTCTTTTTTCTTTTTTTTCCACCAGGGCTGGGGATCAGACCCAGGGCCTGGAGCATGCTAGGCCAGCTCACCAGGAGACATCCTGGAGCTGCAGCATGCCAGATACGAAACAGGTGCTGAAGAGACACAGGTCCTTAGAGCGTGATTAAAAACCATAGGGAGCGCAAACTTAAAGTCACTAAGGGGCTGGCGTGGTGGCACACACCTGTGATACCAGTGCTCAGGAGGCTGAGCCAGGATTGGTTCGAGCTTGAGGCCAGCCTGGGCTACACAGTGAGACCCTTTGAGTAGAGCCAGGATGGGGCTTGAAGGGGAGGCACCCAAGGAACATGGAGGACCTAGGAAGGGAAGTCAGGAAAGAAAAGCAGAGTCTAGGCTGGTCCCTTCCCTCGAATGGGGAATGGGCGAATGGAAGGTAGCACCGGCCTCCACCCTCCCTCCGAGGTGGGGAGCGGGAGGTTTCCCTTGGAGCCCGGACTTTAGTCAGGACTAGCACTCAGCACAGAGCCCAGCATTGGAGACTTGGGACTCAGGGTCTGAGCTGTGTGCTGCTGTGGACCCTGTAAGAGAACAGACCCCCTGTGGCCGAACTCCCAGGAAGGGCTCACTCAGCACTGCTGTCATTGCCTCAGTGCTAAGCACTCTCTCCTTTTGCCTTTTGAGCCAAACCTATAGCTGTCAGTCTTGGTCCTTTTTTTTCTTTGCAGTACTAAGTGATTAAATCCAGTACTTTTTTTTTGGTACCGGGGATCGAACTCAGATCCTTCGGCTTGCAAAGCAGGCGGCGGAACCACTGAGCTAAATCCCCGGCCCCTGAATCCAGTACTTTTTTTAGTATATGTGCTGTCGAAGTGAACACTAAATACAGTACTTTTGCACTGAACTATATCCCTAGCCATAGCCCAGGGGGCCTCTAACTCACAGCAATCCTCCTGCCTCAGCTTCCTGAGTGCTGGGACCATAGGCATGTACCACCACACCCAGCACTTTTTTAATTTTTTGAGACAGGTTCTAGCTAAGTTGCTAAATTGCCTAAATTTATCCTGTGAAATGTGAAAACCCTCGAAAAACACACCTATGGTAAAGTGGCCAGCTGGCCTTAAATTCAGCAACCAGAGTTGCTGTCTAAGTTTCTAACTGCAAGTCCCTGGGGCTGAGGTGGGAGGGGAGGTGTGTAAGGAGAGGTGCTTTGCAGGCTCGGAGCGTAGCTCAGTGCTCCAGTATAGGCTTGGCATGGCCAAGGGCCTGGGTTCAGTGGGTTCAGTTCCAGCACCAAAATAAAACAGCTTAGAGCCGAAGTCTACAGTGGTGCTGTCCACTGTCCACACAATATTAAATTTAATCACACTCAGCTTGAGGACGATGTAAATCAATGGTACAGCATTTACCTAGCGTGGCCAAGGCTCTGGGTTTGAGTCCCAGAACCACACACACACACACACACAGACATACACAGACACACACACACACACACACACACACAAGCTGTGTGTGGTGCTGCAGGGCTGTAATCTCAGCACTCTAGGAAGCTGAGGCAGGAAGATCCCTGTGAGTTCCAGGCCAGTCTGAACTACACCGTAAGACTTTGTCTCAAAACAGAAAACAAACAAAAAACAAAACAGCAGAAGGAGAGAGAGAGGGAGGGCTGGGCTGGGCTAGGAGTGTAATTCAGTTGTACAGCACTTACCAAGCGTGCACAAAGCCCTGGGTTCAACCCACTGCCCTGAAAATAAAATTTACTTTTCCTGGGCATGGTGGTGTGCATGTCTATAATCCCAGCACTCTGTGAAGCTGAGACAGAAGGATCATAAATTTTAGGGCCAGGGATTTAGCTCAGTGGTTCTGGTGCCTGCTGCACAAGCGCAAGCGCAAGGTCCCCCGTTCGATCCCCAGTACCAATAAAAAAAAAAAAATTTAAACCCAGTCTGAGCAAGTTAATGCCTTAGCAAGGCCCTGTCTCAAAAATTTTAAATAGGGCCGGGGATTTAGCTCAGTGGTTCTGTCACCTGCCCCACAAGCCCAAGGACCCGAGTTCAATCCCCGGTACCAAAATAAAAACCAAAAAAAAAAAAAAACCAAACAAAACAAAACAAAAAAAATTTTTAAATAATTTCTTTACAGGGATGGGGATGTGGGGATGTAGCTCAGTGCAAAGGCCGTGGGTTCTATCCCCAGTACCAAAATAAATAAATAAAAATAAATTCACTTTCTCAGTTGCACCAACCCTTTTCAAGTGTTCAATGATGCAGGTAGCTAGTCTGGGAAAGAGCAGATAATGTGCATTTCCGGCACCATGGACTGTCCTATTGCACAGAGCTGGAGAGCAGTAAATGTTGGTGGGCAGAAGAGGGTGGGCAACCGCGTGATACTCCAGGTATGAAAAAGAAGAATAGAGAAGCTGCTCGATGCCTTGGCAGGAGAGATGCAATGATGAAACCACTTCTTTTTGCTGGGGAGAAAGTTCCAGGAGAAGTAGGAAAACCACAGAAATTTTGATTGTGGGCTCAGACCATAAAAGCATCAGTTGTTAATGAGATGATCCCAAGTCAGGCAGAGGCGAGCTGGGTATCTTGGCAACATGGCCCATGTCGTTGTACGCTTTCCTAGCACATGTAAAGAAAGAAACTTTTTTAAAAAGAGAGAGAAGGGGAGAAAGAAAAGACAGTTGAGAGGGCTCTGAGATGGAGTCTAAATGGTATCTCACGGGGTTGTGGTGCATGCCTGTGATCCAGCACTAGTTGCTGTCGATTTAGATGTGAGGAGATGTTTGCTGCTGGGTTAGACTCATTAGATTGGCTAGTAGCATTCACAATGGTGAACCCTTAGAGATGTTGTAAAGATGTTTTCTATTTTATTTATAGTGGTACTGAGCATTGAACCCAGGGCCTTCACACTGAGCTACATCCCCAGCTCTTTTTATTTTGAGACAGGTTCTCCCTACATTGCCCAGGTGGCTCTCCAACCTGTAATTGCCTCCTTTCAGCCGCCACTCAGCCCCTTTCTTGTTTAACACTGCGGTGGGTGTGTGTGTGTGTGTGTGTGTGTGTGTGTGTGTGTGTCTCAAATGTGATCAAAAGTTAGGCAGTTTCTAAGAGTCCATCTCCTCTCAACTCTGCACTGACTTGAGTTTTGAAAAGATTAAAAAAAAAAAAAAAAGCAAAGAAAAACGAGGAGTAGAAAATGAGGTCGGTTTCACCGCCTGCCTCACAAGCACAAGGTCCCAAGTTCGAACCCCGGTAACAAAAAAGAAAAGAAAATGAGGTCACTGGTATTGGAATGGGGATAAAGAAGTAAAAGGAGGCACAAGGATGGGCCAGCCATCAGGTTTCTGGGTGATAACCCGGCCTTTCTCAGTATGTAGCCTATGGGATAAATAACAAACCGGAAGAAGTGATTAGAACTGAACTCTGTCAAGTGGAGCAGCAAGGTGAATTTCTGGGCCGTCAGGCCAGAAATCATAGCTTCAGAAGGGGCTCCGGCCTCCCTTGCTCACCTATCCTCCTTTTCCCACTTTCAGAAAATGTGTTAGAAACACAGGTTTCCCCTCGCAGCCGGCCGTGGAGTGGGATAACTCGAGAAGCCGGGGCCTCCGCGTGGAAAGCAGCGTGCATTTGACACCCCGACCCGGATCCTCCAAGGTCGGTGGGCTGGGCTCTCAGCACCCCACTCAGACCGTCCTGAGGCAGCAGACTGGTCTGTGGTCCAGGCGCGTGGGCGGCTAAGGCTCCTTCCCCGCGCGGGCCGGGAACCAGACCCAGGCCTCCGGTCCCTAGACGTCGCCCTCAGCGTCGCTGCGGACCCCAGTGTCCCAGCTCTTCGATTCTCTAGGCGCTCCCTCGAGCCTCAGGGCACGATTCCCATTCTCTGCCTCTCCATCTCCCTGGAATTTTCCACTGCAGCTGCCTCCGCTCCCAGACACCCCTCCCTGGGCAAAATTCCCGGCTCCCTCCGCCTCCCCTTCTCTAATCACACCTCCTGGCTACCCTCAACCCCGAGGCCCAGCCCACAATCCGGCCCACACCTCAAGCTAACCCTGGTGGTCCCAGTTAGAGAAATGAGAGGCCAGAGCCCTTAGGAAAGAGGGTCCCAGTCGGGGGGCGGGGAGGACGGTGGAGGGGCCGGTCCCTTTTGGGGCTGGAGTGAGGGAGTGGCCCTCCTCACATCCCCATATAAGGCAGGGCAAGCAGTTAGGCCCCTGGATTGGCTGATTCAAATGAGCATTCCACCTGACAACAGGGTTTCTATTGGCTCTCAGGAAAAACAGGAGGAAGGTGGATGGAGGTTGTTGGTGGCGGTGATGGGAGGGGGCAGGGGAGTGGAGGTGACCCGAGTGGGGGGTGGTTACCAGGGCAACAGGGTAAGATCCCAGCAGGGTGTCCCAGACGGCAGGCGGGGCTTCGAGGTGGAAGAGAGGGAAGAGGGAAAGAGAGACAGAGAGAGAGGAGAGACCGACCTGGTGGGAGACGAGACTGCGTGGTAGGGAGGGTGAGGCGGGCAGCAAAGGTAGGGGTGAGGGAGGTAAATGAAGCCCGGGAGGAGCGCAGAGATGGACACGGTGAGAGGCAGAAGACACCCGTCAGGGAGTCAGAGAAACAGAGGGAAAGGGAAAGATCTCAGGGAAAGGATGGACAGAATCCCGCAAGGAGAAAGCTGGGTGGGGCCCCAAGACTTCTGAAGAGACCGAGACTGAGAAACTGATGGAAGAGTCGGCGGGGAAATTGGACGCGTGTCTATACCGAGGGGCCCAAAGATGGTGTTCTTAGCACTTAAATACCAAGTGACCGTGAGGATGGATCAACACCGTAGGTCTTTATTAAGAAAATGAAAATGATTTAGGTAGAGGAGCAATGATACAAGCATGGGAGTACACACAGATTCTCCAAATCCCAGCCTTCCTAACCTTTAACACACACTCCAGCCCTGTCTTCTCCTGAAACCCCAAGCTCCTCAAAATGACCCCAAGATGCGGAGATAACACTGAGGGAGGGAGCTCCAGACCTGGACCTGCATTGCACTTGCAAAGGAGGCCAGCGTGTGAAGAAAAGGTAGAACAAGGGAGCAAACGAAAGCAAAGCAAGGGAAATGCGAGAAACTAGCACAAGAAGAGGACTTGAGGGAAGCCAGGGACCAAGGGCAGGTGTCCGAAGCAGATGAGACAGAAGAGCGGCCCGTCTGAGCGCGACGGGAAAGTGGCAGGCGGCACAGGAGGTGCTTCGGGGATGGAGGCGTGGACGGCTGGGAGGGAGGGTCTGGGTACCGAGGCGAGAGCGGCAGAGAAAGAAGCGCCAGGCGAGGAAGAAAGATGGGAGATGGGGAGAGGTGGAGGGGAGCGAAGGACACTGGAGGGCCGGCTCCCCCATGTCAGGGAAGAGCCCGGAAGCGAGGAACCGGCAAGGGCCCCCAATGACAGCTTCATCGGGAGAGAAGCCGGGGCTGCCCTTTCTGCGCCCCCGTTCCTTCCTCCCAGGCCACTCCGAGAATGTGGCTAGAGGAGAGAGGGGAAATCCAGTGTGATGAGCGTGGAAGAGCTCCGCCAGCCTCTTCTCTCCTTTCAGCTTTTGGTTTCTCGAGTACCTGCCCTGCCTCTCCATCTCCTCCCGACCCTGCAAAGCCTCAGGGCTCCTGGGGGTCAGGGGACTCCAGCCACCTCTCCAGTCCCCGCCGGCAGCCAGACTCCACCTCGCGGGCCGTAGGTGGGGACTGGAGCTGTCTCCGCCAGGAACCCCACCCCTTCCCGCCTCCCGCCGCTCCCCTCCCGCCGCCGTCCTCCTATCCCCACCTCTCCAGCTCCCGCTCGCCCCCTCCCCGCGCCGGCCTCGCGCTCCCGCCGCCCCACCCCTGCCAAGCCCCTCCCGTCGGGCAGCGAGCCTTATAAGCGGGTTCCCGGCCCAGGGGCGGCAGCGGCTGGTCGGTGGCAGCTCTGCGGTGCGGGGGCGGCGAGTTAAGGACCAAGCGAGCCTCCGCGGCCGAGCGCGCCGGCC